ATATTTATTCACCCAAACCATATTTGGTATCAATGTTATACCTAACAGTGGTTGTAAAGTAGGTCACCAGTTATGACTTTTTTGCACTGGTCAATAAGCAAACACCGTGGTCATTAAGTGAAGCCGTTTTGTTTTTTTTTGGCTATGGGCCAGTTTTTGCCAGAAACTGGAAGTAAAAACTGACAAAAAAAGCATGATACATTGTGACTGCATGTGACCACAAGGGGGAAGTTGATGCTGAAACTTTGAAATAGGGCTGCAAGTAGCTTTTCAAGGGTCCACTGTAACTTCAAACGGTTGCTAAGTGATTGGTCACAAGTCAAGAACTACCTGTACATGTGAACTGATCTTTTTCTTTCTTTCCTGGCAGTACCTTTTTAACAAATAGAGATTGATTGGGCAAAGCCTTTTTTTCTATGAAAGACACAGGATTTCAGCCCACCAATGCAAGAACATCTCCTTCAGAGATGGAATCTGCATTAGAGGGCTAGAAGCTGGTATCTCTCATGTGGCTTTTGATTCAAACCGTCACTTTTCTCATGGTTTATCTTGTGTGAAATCTATTTTACAGCAACACCTCTGCATAAGTACAAAGAATAGCAATAGCCACAGCACTTAAGACTTATATACCGCTTTATAGTGCAGTTTACAGAATCAGCATATTGCCCCCAACAGTCTTTTATTTTATCCACCTCAAAAGGATGGAAGGATGAGTCAACCTTGAGCCTGGTGAGATTCAAACTGCCAGATTTCAGGCAGCCGGTAGTCAGCAGAAGTAGCTTGCAATACTGCACTCTAACCACTGCGCCACCACGGCTCATAGGTCGTCTTACTACATTTTCAATCATTTTCTTTCTCCCTCATGCTTTTGGAGTTGATGCTGTGATTTAACCCCTTATTTCTAGGTATATATATATATATTTTAAACTAGTTTGCTCCGTTTTTATTTGTTCCCTCATTCCTTACTTCAACATTTTAGTTGGCAAACTCTGAATGATAGGGAGGGAACCAGAAAACTTTGGAGGTATGTGTGTTGTTTATGAAAGTTTGTGCAGTTAGTATTGTATGTATAAAATATAAAGGATGCATGTGTGCTTTTGTTACATAGCTTAGTCTTGTTTATTTGAATCAGCCTTTGACCATACTGGCTGGGGATTATGAAAATCAAATATTCAACTTATAGCTAATATTAACAGTTAATAGGGGATCAACCTATTCTCCAAAGCATTTGAGGGTAGAACAAGAAGTAAGGAATAGAAATTTAACAGCTAAAACAATTAATCAGTGGAAAGGCTTGCCTTCAGAAGTTGTGGATCATCATTGGAGGTTTTTAAGAAGAGATTGGACAGCCATTTGTCTGGAATGGTATAAGGTCTCCTAATGAGGCAGGGGCTTGCACTAGGAGACCTCCAAGGAACCGTCCATTATTCTGTAATTCTGATTAATCTGCAAAACAAAAGGTTGTGGAGGGCTAGACTCTACCAAAGAGGCTAGAGAAAAACCATAACAGCTAACAGAAAAATGCATATTTAATTTTTATCTGCCTCTGCATATAAATGTGACAGGTTTTTTTTTAAACCAACAGATAGACCAGATATCTTGTTTTACTTTCTTTTCATATCATACATTACGCATTGCTTATTTCCAGCTAGGGAATAAAGAAAATCTAAACACTGCAGCTAAGACTTAATGATTGTTTTTTTTTTTAAATATGCATTTTCAGAGAGATACTTCAAGACCAACCCAGTCCTTTGCCATTTTCTGGAGATGAAGAAGGATCTGGCAATGAAGTTGATCCCGAGACAGGATCGGGCGCGGAGTCTGATATGGAAGAGCCCGATGTGTCTGACTTTGTGAACCAACCAAATGTGAACCTGAAATTTAAGCTATCAGATGAAGGCTTACTTCCCCATGAAAATGTACTGTGATTTCTGTTATGGCTTAATGTGATCTTTCTTTTTACATATCATAGGTTTTGATGAAATGTATACCCTAGACTAGGCATATATGTTATAAAAATATTATAGCTAACCATGTATATCTTAAAATGTTTAGTGCTTTTCTTTGATAAAATCTATTATTTCTAAGCTGAAAAACAGAAGCAAACAAAGCAAGTTAAACTAATTTCAGCCACTTGATAAGCATTTTCTTATGTCTGCAATTATTCAGCTATCTTTCTATTAAAATCTAATGCAACTATGGACTCATATTCATTTCTTAAATATTATTTATTAATCAGATGTATTATCCCACCTCAATTATAAAAAGACTCTCAACGGCCAATTAATAATTATTACTACTCTATTGCTTCCGCACCAGAGACAAATTCCTTGTGTGCCTAATCACATTTGGCCAAATAAAGTATTCCATTCCATTCCATTCTAAGAGCAATAACATTATCAAAAATAATTTTTTAAAAAATTAAAAATACAATTTGTACAGAACACATGACCAAAATAATATATAATGTCCACACTCAAATATCATCTGGAAACCAACTGCAATACTAGATGAAAACAGTATTGTTTAAATTTTAACATGCTATTCAGCATAGAAAATCTAAGATGTGAAATCCATTAAAACAATCATCAAGACAGAGAACAAAATGCATATGAAATAACATTTAAGGAAGCACAACATGTATGGATTAAATCATTTGGCAGTTTACCAAAAGCAAAACCGCAATAATAAGTTGTTTGTGGTGGGGGTTGAAGTCAGTACTGGACCATGTCTGGGACCTAGTAAACCATTTCCTGTTCTGGATTATGTATTTCTGGTAACAATGAACCAACTGAGAATGGCCAGACTGGTGAATTCCAGAGAAAAATACAATTGCATGAGACCTCAGGATGTTTTATCCTATGAACATCTGCACATATATAAAATGTATTTTTAACATAGGTATCTAAGGAGAGCTAATACTTCTTTACTGACCTAATCTTATTGTAAGATTTTTTTTCCTACATTCAATAAATTTCCCCACCTGTAACTTATTCTATATTCTAACTTCTGATATATGAGTTGTCTTGGACATCTCTTAAGTCTCATTTAGGTGCTTGAATGGACAGCTAGGAACTTTGGGACATTCTTCCTTTCACTCTAGGAAAAAGAAAAGAGCAAAGCACTTCTGAAAATGTTTGCCAAAAAAAAATGGTGTAGTTTTTTTTCCCCATGAAAGGCAGTCCCTGGTTTAAAAACATACCATTTAAGAACAATCCCTAGATTGAATTGGATTGCCTGTTACTAAAAACGGTGGATGGTGGTAAACCATTGAAGCTGCCCAATGCTTTTGGGAACTGCTGAAGCCAGGCTTTTTAAGTATACAACCAGTTTTCAGCGGTTTATAAAAACATTGGGCTACTTCAGTAGTTTGCTGGCTCGTAGAAAGAGAACGCTGTCTGGCATTTTACTAATGGACACACTTGTAGGTACAAGTTCAGACTTACATACAAATTTAAATTAGGAACAGAACTCATTGTTAACCCACTTGTTTTGTTTTGTTTTAGGAATCAAGTCTAAATCAAAGGTAATAAAAAAGTAATACAGTAGATCATAAAACTTAGAAACTGGATGTTTCTCTTGGTTTCCACTGAGTCACTGGGAGTTGGGCAGCATATAAGTTTAATAAATTATTATCAACAAAACGCATAGGAGCACCAGCCATTTTAGCCAAGGTTCAGAGAAAAGCCAGCCCCACTTAATGGTTCAGCCCTTATAGGAGACACCTCTTCATAGGAGACACCTCTTCATAGGAGACACCTCTGTGGAGGCATCTTAAAGCTGCCTTTAGTTGTTATATAGTACTGTTACATTTCCCTCCCCGTATTTAATAAATAAGGTGACATGGATATCCCGCCACAATTATAAATTGGCAACTTATAACATATATGAGTAATCATAACAACAAAAGGGTAGAAACTACATCACACACACAGAGAGAGAGAGAGAGAGAGAGAGAGAGAGAGAGAGAGAGAGAGAGACCCCTTGTCTGTGTTCTTGGCTATAGCATTTACATTTTAAAACTGATTTTGCCCTATTGGGGAGCCATCAAGAAAACTTGATGCCTCTAACTCCCTACAAATTGGAACCCTCCTGACAGAACCAGGATAATAATTACCTGATGACAATGGGAATTCCAGAAGGTAAGGCCAGAGTGCAACTGCCCATTCCTAGTTTTACCAACTATAACTACTTCCCCAATAATGCAGGTAAATGTATAACTATTAATGACACTCCCAAAGGTGCTTTTTCAAGAGGCGACTGGACTTTCTGGTTTTTCTTTGAAGGTGTTGTGCTTCTCATCCAAGAAGCTGCTTCTTCTTCTTCAAAAAGCACATTTGGGACAACCATGACCTGGATGACTGAGAATCTCCATAGACTTCTATTAATGACACCCAAAGCCATATTTTCCACTACTCTGTCGAACTCCACATCACTACATCTTCTGAAAGTAAACCCCAAAGTTAATTACATTCTGCATGAAGTACTTCCACTGATTTATCTGGACTCTCCCAACATTCAACTCAAAGGATGATCCAGAGCCTGCCTGGTATGTTCAGAGAGGAAGAAAAACTTATTTCTGTTCAGTTCAGTTCAACACTGACACGCACATTTCCTCCTATGCAATGCTAAAGTGGCCAGGTACCAAAATGCACTTGGGACTGTTGTCTCAAATATATTTCCTGAGTAAAAATCTTCAATCCTCAAAGATCTCAGTGCAAACTCTTTTCTTCTGCTTCTAGTATGTTGTTAGATCCAAAAGAATAGCTTACATTCAGGGCAGTAAGGGGTGGGGCCTATCTAGTTGTCAAAAAGTCCCTGTTTTTGTCACTGACCCAGGGTGGAAACAACACATCTGCTGGCGATGTCAAAAAACAAATACTTTCCCCTACCTGAAAAACTCTGCAAGCCAGCAAATTGTTCCCAACCCCATGACAGTATCCATTACAGGTAATTCTTGACTCACAACAACTGAGTCCAAAACTTCCATTGTTAAGCAAGACAGTTGTGACTTTTGATTCATTTTATGACCATTTATGTCACAATTGTTAAGTGAACCAATGCATTTGTTAAGTTAGTAACATGGTTAAGTGAATCTGACTTTCCCATTAACTTTGTCAGAGGGTCACAAAAGGTGATGACATGATCTTGGGACACTGCAACCATCCTAAATACAGGCCAGTCACCAAGCATCCGAATTTTGACCCTGGGGATGCTGCAGTGATCGTAAGTGTGAAAAATATGTCACTTTTTTAGTGCTGTTGTAACTTTGAATGGTCACTAAACAAATTGTTGTAAGTCAAGGACTGCCTGTATTTGAAGTTTGTAGAGGTGAAGCTCTTGCCTCACAATCAGAAGGCTGTGAGTTCGATCCTAGGTAGAGGCAAATATTTGGAATAGACTACTGGAGCAGGGGGTTTGACTAGATGACCTCCAAGATCCCTTCCAACTCTGTTATTCTATGTTCTAAGAAGGAATATGAAATCTAGAAGAGTCAGTAACCCCTTTTTTCCAGCTAATAAATTTTATTTTAACTATTTATCAAACTGTGACTCCTATTAAGAGGCAGGAGCTTTCCTGACCTGTAGCTGCCTTCATCAGGGCTCTCCGACTATGAAATCAATCTGGACACCTGCATAACTGGATAGAAGCATTCCTGTCAAACAGACAACAAATGGTCAAAATTGGGAGCATCCTATCAAATTCAGTACCTGTCAATAGTGGTGTCCCCCAAGGCAGTGTTCTAGGACCAACTCTTTTCATACTCTACATAAATGACCTCTGTGATCATATCAAGAGCAATTGCGTTCTCTTTGCTGATGATGTAAATCTATTCAACACCACAGACAATACTGCTACCCTTCAAAAAGACCTTGACTATGTATCAGAATGGTCAAACAAATGGCAACTTCAAATCTCAACAAATAAATGCTCAGTCCTATATATTGGCAAAAAAAAATCAGAAAATAAAATACAGGCTGAATAGTCAAGACCTTGTTGATGATCCAAGCTCTGTAAAGGACCTTGGAGTAGTCATCTCTAATGATCTAAGTGCTAGAGCCCACTGTGACTACATAGCCAAAAAGGCATTAAGAGTTGTTAACCTAATCTTATGTAGCTTTTTCTCTGGTAATATTACACTACTAACTAGAGCATACAAAACATTTGCTGGACCAATACTCCAATACAGCTCATCAGTCTGGAACCCACATTACGTATCTGATATTAACACAGTTGAGAAAGTCCAGAAATATTTCACAAGAAGAGTTCTCCACTCCTCTACTCATTGCAGAATACCTTATGCCACCAGATTCGAAATTCTAGAACTAGAAAACCTAGAACTACGCTGCCTTCGGTCCGATCTAAGTATAGTATATAAAATCATACATTGCAATGTCCTACCAATCAATGAATACTTCAGCTTCAACCATATCAACACAAGAGCAAACAATAGATACAAACTCAAGGTAAACCGCACCAAACTTGATTGCAGGAAATACGACTGCAGCAACAGAGTGGTCAATGTCTGGAATACTCTACCTGACTCTGTGGTTTCTTTCCCCAAACCCCAAAAACTTTAACCTTAGACTGTCTACTCTTGACCTCATCCCTTTCCTAAGAGGCCTGTAGGGGGCGTGCATAAGCGCACCAACGTGCCTACCTGTCCTATTGTTTCTTTTATTTTTTCTTATATGTACCCATTTCATGTATTCATAACTATGTATATACTTGTACCTATTATCTTGTAAGCGATTGACAAATCAAATAAATAAAAATAAATAAATAAAACAATAAGAGTTGCTCCACAAGGTTTTAAGTGCAAAAGATGACTCCAATAAAATAAACTGGAGGCACCACTTCCAACCGACGCCGCCTGGGTGTGTAGTTAATGGTTCAGAAACGGAGAGAGAGAGAGAGAGAGAGAGAGAGAGAGAGAGAGAGAGAGAAAAGCATCTTCACCACTGAGATATCAAACCTCCGAATCCTAGAGAAGATCCCTCCTCTCTGGGCCCGCCCAGGACAGCGCCCCAACCGTCGCCCAGGCTACCCGAGTCGCCCGCGCCGCTTTTTACTCCTCCTCGGTCACGTGTCTGGGGCGTGGAATGAAGTGACGGCCTCTCCGGGTCACATGATAGTGGCGCGGGCCGGAGTTGCTACGGTTGCTTGGGGCGGGGGGGGGG